AAGAAGAAGAAGAAGAAGAAGAAGAAGAAGAAGAAGAAGAAGAAGAACAACTATAACAACAACAACAACAACAATAACAACAACAACAACAACAACAACGGGATTTTTGAATATAGACAGATCATCATTTGGAACACAACACACCAGATATCACAGTTGTTGAAAACCGAAGTGTACAATTTATTGATATTGCTCTTACCAGGGGACGCCAGAGTTGAAGAAAAAGAAGTCATGAAACATCGTGACCTGGACACTGAAACTATGTGATCACTGCCATTGTTAAGTTAGTCACACAGTCATTAAATGAATTTTGCATCCCCATTGACTTTGCTTGTCAGGTCACCAAACAGGGATCATGTGATCCCAGGATACTGCAACCATCATAAATATGAATCAGTTGCCAAGTGTTTGAATTTTGATTATATGACCCTGGTGATGCGGCAATGGTCATAAATGTGAACAAGTCATAAGTCATTGTTTTCAGTGCAGTTGTAACTTCACCCGGGTCTCTAAACAAATGGTTGTGAGTTGATGATTAACTGTATTCATAGAATGAAGCAAGAGTAAGTGTGCCTTATAATTATTTGACCCAGCAACTGTTGTGTCATCTTTCCTCATGTGTTGAGGGTACTCAACCATCAAAAGCCAAAGGTCTTATCTCAAACAATAATTTCATCTTTTATTATAGTTACAGACCAGAGTTGGGTCTTATTTCCTTGTAGGTTTTCTGACCAAGGCTTCCAAGACCGTAATTGAGCACACGCTTATTTTAAAAACAAGTCTTCTTTTATTGCAACACTGGGAATTATTTTCATTCTTAGCTGATAATTAATCTCAAACAGTCCCTCGAGAAAAGCACCCACCTTTCTTTCTTGTGAAGTGCTGCCAATAACTGAAGTGTCAAATGAACTAGAAAAGAAATCAACCAAAGTACAAAGAGCTTCAGGAATGAATCTGAACCGAACAAACGACTTTGCTTCCTGCAAAGGTTTCATCACCTTTGCCTGTCCTTTATACCTTAGGGAAGGGGCAATCACCTCCCAGCCTTACTCCCTAGTCACCTCTTTTGTTTCAGCTGCTCTCACCTTCTGGCAGCTCTGCACACACGCGCACTGGGAACAGGCTCCCCTTGTTCCTCTGCCTCGCTGCTGCCAGACTCCAGAGGCTCCGGAGGCAGCACCCCACTCCCAGATGTTCCTGGCCGCATCTCTGCATCGGATGCAGGACCCTCATCCGAGTCCTCTCCAGACTCCCAGACTGATCCCCTTTCTTCCCCAATGTTTGATTCCGCTGCCATCTGCACAGGCTGCCGGCGAACCACAACAGTAGCTCCTTCTGCAAATTCAAGGCCTTGAAAAATCAGAATTTTAAATCTCAGAGAAGAGAGGGCTCTAACTCTTGCCAAATTACAGTTCTCAGCACTCCTGAGCGGCATTCCTCAAACCGAGAAATCTGATGTTGTAATTAGCGGTGGTCAAACCCTTTCTATTTTAAAGAACACAAAATGTACCCATGTACAGAGATGGATTGCTGCATCTTCATGGCAACCAAAACAACTGGCTTTTTTCAGGAGAAAAAGGAACATGCTTAGATTTAGTTCTGGATCATACCCTTTGTGTAATATTTTCTAAAGAAGAATTCTTGATTGGGGCTTAGTCTATAAACAGACTCTGTTGAAATGGTGTTGCGGTTAAAGTCGCTGAGCTTGTCAGCTGGAAAGCCAACAGCCTGGGTTTGAGACCTGAGTGCTGCGTGACACGCTGAGCTCCCATTCATTGTTCCAGCTTCTGTCAATCTAGCAGTTCAAAAGCATGCAAATGGAACAGCTGCAAAGTATTGGTTGGGCTACTCTAAAGAAAAGAAGAATTAGGGGGGACAGGATAGAAGTATTCAAATATTTGAGGGGCTGCCCCAAAGAGGAGGGGGTCAACTTATTCTCCAAAGCACAGAGGACAGGACAAGAAACAATGGTTGGAAACTAATCAAAGAGAGAAGCAACCTGGAACTAAAGAGAAACTAACAGTGAGAACAATCAGTCAGTGGAACAGCTTGCCTGCAGAATTGGTGGATGCTCCATCACTGGAAGTTTTTAAGAAGAGTCTAGACAGTCACTTATCTGAAATAGTATAGGTTCCCCTGCTTGAGCAAGGGGCTGGATTAGAAGACCTCCAAGCAGCTCATTCTATTCTATTCTATTCTATTCTATTCTATTCTATTCTATTCTATTCTATTCTATTCTATTCTATTCTATTCCCTATTGTATTCTACTGTACTTTACTCTACTCCATTCCATTCCATTCTCCCTTCCCTTCCCTTCCCTTCCCTTCCCTTCTTCTATTCTATTGTATTTCTATTCTATTCTATCCCCTATTGTATTCTACTCTACCCTACCCTACCCTACCCTTCAATTCCATTCCATTCCATTCCATTCAAATGCAAGTAGATAAATAGGTACCAGTTCGGTAGGAAGGTAACAATGATCTGTGCACCTTTGCCATATAGCTATGCTGGCCACATGACCATGAAAAATGTCTTCAGACAACACTGGTTCCCTCGGCCAAGAAACAGAGATAAGCACTATGCCCTAGAGCCAGACCTAACTAGACAGAGAAACTGTTATTGTTATGCTATGAACAAGACTCTCTTTGACAAGAGATTCTGATCTTTTGTTGAGCAAGGCCAACACGAAGGGAACAATAGTCTCAGGGTACATTGAAGCCACAAGTTAATTAAGAGAAAAATATGTTGCCTTCTCAAGAAATCTACAGGCAAGGTTTAAAGAAACAGGAAACGCTCCGATCAATTGCAATGAATCAGGCGTTTTATTACCGAAGAAACCCAGATCTCTAACAGTAGCTTAAGGCGAGGCGAACACCCAAGAAAAATGTATTGATGAAGTCAACAGATGGCCTGAACTTCTCGAGACATTATGCTTCTGCTAAGAGGGTGTCACATTGTTTTAAAAGAAGCCAGCCAAGGCAGCACAAACAGAGATAGGTCCCAGGCTAATTCATTGGACAACTTCCAATGCTTCAGGCATTACACATTTCACAAAGGGGAAAAAATGGCCTGATTTGGCCAACCATCAATAAATCCCAACCCCAGCATGGCTTAAATGTTTTATTATGGCTTGGTATTTTCGGGGACATAAATGCTTCTGTTCATCAATCTACCATTTCTGGAGGCAATCAGCACGGGTAGTAAATCTGTTTATAAAAAACAGAATAACAGAGTTGGAAAGGACCCTGGAGGCCTTCTAGTCCAACCCCCTGAAGGAGACCCTACCTCATCAGAAATACATAATTAAAGGCCTTGTTTTCCTCAATTAACAGAATGACAGAGCTGGAGGGAACCTTGGAGGTCATCTAGTCCAAGGGTCACCAACCTTTTGGACCTCAGGGACCAACAAACTCATAATTTTAAATCCCGTGGACCAGAGACCCTGGGGAAAACCCCCCAAAAAAGTCTGCAGGAAAATTCCCCACCCCGTTTTCCTACCGATCGATTGTTCTTTATTTGGGATTGCAGGATACTGTCTCCAGCTCCGTTTTCGGGGGGAGAAAGAGAGAGAGAGAGAGAGAGAGACTGTTGGCTTCATGCAAGGAAAGTAGCAGAAGCAGCAGAAGTCTTTCTTTCTCTCTCCCAAAATCCGCCAGAAATGAGTCTTTGAGAGACTTGTCACAATGACGCAGCCTCTTGGAGCAGGTGGCCTTGCAAGACTCATTTCTGGCAGAGTTTGGGGGAGAGAAAGAAAGACTTTGGCTGCTTTCCTTGCATGCAGCCCAAAGCAGAAGAAGAAAGAAGCGGAAAGAAGCAGCTCAGTGGCCAGGCCAGGCATATGGGGTGAGTGGGACAAGTTCCCCCGCTCTGCCCTTTCCCCCCTCCCCTCACTACCTCATGTTGTTCGCAATGCAAACGACACAAGCCTTGTGTTCCCATGGGCCATGTGGGTGGCGCAGCCTTGTGTTCCTGCGCAGCCTGGATTAATTGCTTTGGGGTGACATTTCTCTGGGGACCCCCAAAATTTTCTCATGGACCACCAGTAATCCCTGGTCCAACCTTTTGCATAAGCAGGAAACCTTATACCATTTTGGATAAATGGCTACTGCCTCATAGTTATGATGGCCGCAATGTCCCAGATCATGTGATCCCCTTTTGCGACCTTCTGACAAGCAAAATCCCAATGAGGAAATCCAGATTCACTTAACAATCATGTGATTAGCTTAACAACTGGAGATAATTGACTTAACAACTGTGGTATAATGGGGCAAAACTCACTTAACAAATGTCTCGTTTAGCAACATATATGTTGGACTCAGTCATGGTCGTAAGTCAAGGACTACCTCTGTTTTGTCCATAATATGTATGTTTTGTTTAGGTTGCCTATAATATCATATACTCGTGCTTTGCTACGAAACTATGTGGTCAGGCTTAGTTTTTGGGGAGGAAAATAAGGGGAAAAAAGTCTGCCTCTGCCTACCAGCTTCCATCGGTATTCATCTGGCTAGCATTCTGTCAGTGTGTGAGAGAGCTGATGGCTGTTTGGAAACCAAAACAGTATTTGCTGTGTGAGCAAGAAGGAGACAGCAAGGAGCCTGGGCATGGCTTAGCTCAACTGTGCTGTATTAAAGCTGCTTGGTGCTGCTGTGAAACTGAAACTGAAACTCCTCTCCTCTGCTTGTGTTTTGCATTTGGTACAGATTTCTTTTCAGGTGGGGAGTGGGAGTAGAACTCTTTAGCATCAGAGCATGTTAATAATAATAATAATAATAATAATAATAATAATAATAATAATAATA